AAGAGGTAAAAGCAACAAAAGAATCAGGTAAAGGAAGTGTAAATGGGAATAGCACTTCTAATTGGTACTGTCCAAAATAGTGGATAAGGTCAGAAATCACACAACACCAAGTTATAGTCCAACAGGTTTATTTGAAAACACAAACTTTTGGAGTCTTACTCTTTCTTCAGGTGTTAGTGAGAGAGATAATATCAGACATGGAATTTATAAGTAAAAGATGAAAAATTCATACCATTGCTGCGGATGTACTAAACAAACCTAAGATGCTATTAAATCTTCAATCAGTAAGAAATTTTTAATCGATTAATATGTATATGTAAATCCCCAAATTCCTTTCAAGTCCCTGTCCTGTGAGAACTAAATGTTTAATCAGTGTAAAGAGGTGACATTTTAGGTCAGACAATGCATGTTAGGTATGAGGTCTTTTTTAGAATCTGTTTGTGTTTTGGTTTGGAGTCAGACTGGTTTTATTTCTAAAGTAGCAATTTATAAAACGCTACATTGAGTGACTGTCCATAAATTGTGTGCTTTTTGAACAAAATAAAATGTATCTGCAAATACAAATTCACTCCATAGATTCACGTGTGTGTGTGTGCAATAGTGTGTGTGTGCATGTGTGTGTGAGAGTGACACAGTGTGTGTCTGAGAGAGGATCTGTGTGAGACTATGTAGTGTGTGTGTGCGTATTTGTGTGAGGGAGTGTGTGTGTATGTATGCGTGTGTGTGAGTGTGTGCATGAGAATGTATAGTGGGGTGGGTCACTTGTAGTGTGACACAAACCCAGGATTCTGTTTGAGGCCGTCCTCATGGGTACCGAACTTAGCTATCAGCTTGGTGACACGGCATTGTTGTGTATCCCAAAGTCTGCCTTGAAGGACGTTTATTGGAAAATCCAAGGCTGAATGTCCTTGATCACTGTTCCCCCACTGGGAGGGAACATCCCTGTCTGGTGATTTTTGTGCAGTGTCCATTCATCCGTTGCCGTAGCATCTGTATCCGTGTCTGTACCTGATACTACCTCTCTCACTAACACCTGAAGAACAGAGTAAGACTCCAAAAACTTGTGTTTTCAAATAAACCTGTTGGGATATATCCTGGTGCTGTGTGATTTCTGACCTTGTCCACACCAGTCCCACACCAGCACCTCCACATCAAAGTAGTGGAGGCAGAGCACGTAATCTGAAATTGTTGAATTCAAGTTGAATCTAGGAAGTTGCAAAGTGTTTAATCGAAGATTAGGTGCTGTTGATCAAGCTTACACTGAACCTCACTGGAACACTGCAAGAGATCAAGAGTACGGAGGTCAAAGTACAACTTCAAGTGAATAAAAATGATGAGTGGTCTTACGGTCAAGATGCATTCGGTCTTTCCAATGGAGAGGAGAGACTGTATTTTTAGTGGTGAATATGATAGGCTAAATTTAAAGAAGTACAAGAGAAGAATGTTCATGGTCTTGAATAGACAGAGGGGAGCATGTAAAATAGCAGGTGGTGATTCTCCAGGATATACAAGGAACAGCGTCATAAGAAGGGGTGAGGTTGTTTGAGTGATTAATTGTGGTGGAGGGAATGGTTCCTGCACAGCACTGAAAGAGAAAGGGAGGGGATGAAAGGATATTTATGGTGGTAGCATTAAGTTGGAAGTGGTGGAACTGGTGGTGTGTGATCTATTGAATGTGGACATGGGAGGAGAGTGGAGGCTGAGGGAAGGGATAATTGTGATTCTGGATTATTTTCCAGGGTAGGGGGAGTCCAAAACTAGAGGGCATAGGTATAAGATGAGAGGGGAAAGATTTAGAAAGGACCTAAGGGGTAATTGTTTTCTCACAGAGGGTGGTGCTTGGCTGGAACGAGCTGTCAGAGGGGGTGGTGGAGGTGGGTACAAATGCTGGCCAATAGGACTAGGTCAAATTAGGATGCATGGACATGAGTGGACTGAATGATCTGTTTCCATGCTGTATGACTTTATGACTCTATAAAAGCCAAAAATATTGGATACATTTGTCAGGTCTTGTATATCTGTGGACAAACAGGCGGCATTGTTGTTTTACAAATTGTTTGCTTTCCTCTTTACAGATATTGCCAAACCCAAATAGCTTTTCCATCAGTTTTTCATTTTTTAAATTTAGATTTCCAGCATCTGCAGCATTTTGCTTTTGTATTGGGAGGACTGATATGAAAGGTGATACCATCCAAACAAATTTAACAGAAAATAGGAGGATGGAATTAAGTTTTTGCAAGGGACAACATGAAAGGAAATGTAGTCAAGTTGCTGCGGAAGTCAATGGGCTTACAATGCATATTGGCCAACAATTGAACCCAGAAATAGAAACCAGAAAAGCTGAGAGAGGCAAGAGTTAGAGATTGATTGATTTATTGTCACATGTACCAAAATACAGTGAAAAGCTTTGTTTACAAGTGATACAGGCAGATCACAGCAAACAAAGGATGTAGAGATCAAAAAGACTTAGAGGCATACAAGTTACATTGCAGGTTAAATTATTTGAGGCTAGAGTCCATTCAACAGTCTGATAATGGCTGGAAAGAAGCTGTACCTGAACCAGCATGTGCATGTGTTCAGGCTTATGTATTTTCTGCCTGATGGAAGAGGTTGTAGAAGGTCATTACCAGGGTGTGACAAGTCTTTGATGATGTTGGCCATCCTTCCGCGGCAGCGAGCTGTGTAAATAGAGTCCATGGATCTGAAGAAGGGCCTAGGCCCGAAACGTCAGCCTTCCTGCTCCTCTGATGCTGATTGGCCTGCTGTGTTCATCCTGCTCTACACCCTGTTATCTCAGATTCTCCAGCATCTGCAGTTCCTACCATCCATGGATGGAACGTTGGCTTCTGTGATGGTCTGGGCTGTGCACACCACTTTCTGTAATGTCTTATGGTCCTGGGCAGAGCAGTTGTCATACCAGGCTGTTATGCACCCAGACAGTATGCTCTCTCTGGTGCATCTGTAGAAGTTGGTGAGGGACTTTATGGACATGCCAAATTTCCTGAGCTGCCTGAGGAAGAAGAGATGATGTAGTGCCTTCTTGACTGTCGCATTTATGTGGGAAGTCCAGGACAGGTTGTCGGTTATCGTCACTCCGAGAAACTTGATGCTCTTCACTCGCTCAACTCAGTTCTGTTGATATAGATGGGGGCATGTTCTCCTTTCTTTCCAAAGTCAATGATCAGTTCTTTAGTTTTGGCCAGGTTCTGAGACAGATTGTTTTCATTGCACCACGTCACCAAGCCCACTAGGCCTTTTCTGTAGTTTGACTCATCCTTGTTAGATGGATTATGTGAACGTGACAAAATGGATGAACAATGAAAGGGAAATTGACGATTATCCGATTCGGTGGGCAATAACATTAAAATAATCATATGTGTACGGAAAATATATGAGAGGGATGGGGCCTAAATAAAAATCCCGTTCGTCCAAGCAAACGGCAGGTGCAGCTCAGACTCTTACTGGTTCCTAAAGCAAAACGTTTTATCTCACAGGAAGTGAGTGCAGTTCAAACGATAAAATTGTTCAATGTCAGAACAAGTTCAGTCAGGCAGAACAGGGCAGTGATTGTTGGAACTTGGTTTTATTTACACTAACTAAACAGAAGAATATTGTTGACTTACCCGAGATTCGCCAGCCATTGCTTTGTCTGATGCTGTATTGTTTGTTTCGCAATTATCCTTGGTTGACCCTGAATCACAGCTTGAACAACAGTGCATGTTTTCCTCAAGTTATGGGATGGCTAAAGGGTAGAATATGGTTGACTCTTAACTACCTTCGGAGCAATTAGGGTTGGGTAAAAAATGCTGGCCTAGCTAGTGATGCCCACATCCCGTGAATGAATAAAACAAAGCTTCTTACTCATGATCAAATTGAGCTCGGGACAGAATTACGTCAAGTTTCTTCTGTTCCTACAATAACTGAGGATTATTTCCTATCTTCACTATATTAATGCCCTGATAAATATAAGAACAGAGAGCACGTTTATGGTTTGATTGTAATTACGGAATGGATACAATCATCTGGGATACAAATAGAAAAGCACACGTATAATTTCATTATAAATAGCAAATAGAAAACCTTCTTGCTTGTTAACTTCCTCGACTTCAAATCACCACTTGTATGTACCCCATTGTGAAACTTCAGTTTTGCTTCTCATCCCCCTTTCTGCGTGAGATTATTATTTGATGCCAATGAGTTCTCAAAAAGTACTTGTTCGATTGGTCTCAGTTCACGCTCAGAAGAGCACACTGTGCAGACTTCATGTCCTCTGCAAAAGATCTATGATCTGTTCAGTATTCGATTGTTCTTTCTCTATATTCAGTGAAGCAATTAAAACATAACATCATTTAGCCACAAATAGATGCAAAGTGGACAGGTTAAGAAATGAAGAACGAGGCTGTATATGATACGAGCAATGCAATAGCAAGATAATCACAGTATGCAGCATTTTAGCACTGGTAACGAAATGTTTACAGTTTTTCGAAGATATCACTGGGTTTTAACTGCGCAAGTATAATTCACATTACTATCAATAAAGTTGCAGTAACAAAGCTGAAGATCTAAGTTTAGACTGAGGCTCATTGGGTTACACAACAGACATGAAACGAATACAGTTAGCAGTTTTGTTTCATATTGCAAATGAGATTCGTTGGAGGATAACAACCAAGTGATCAGTGATCTTTCAATTACTTTCAGGGATTTTTAAATTTTGTTTAAACAACATTATTTTGAATTTACAATGTAGCTCTGTAGTGATAATTTAACTCCGTCGATTTTTTTAAAAAGCCTGCCAGTTCGCATTATGTACAGTAATTCATGTATCACCGTAATCTTGGGAATTCAGGTGATGTTTTCTCTAATCCTGACACATACATGGTCACTTCTGTACACCTTTAGGGTACAGAAACGGTGAGTAATTGATCCTGTGACGTGTACATGTGAAAGGAAATTACAAATCGAATCTTCCCCAAAAGTGGCGATTAATAAATAGCGGTGAAACTGGATCACTACTACAATAGATTTTAGACCAAGAGGTTGCTAAACACCGGAGAAGAAAAATTTAACATGAGACCTGCCCAATGTTAGTGAGGATTGCAGCCTGTTACCTCCTCATTGTCACCTTTCAGAGAGAGTTTGGGGAAGTTCGTTTCTCATGACGTTCTGTCTCTTTTTTTCCTGCAGATTTCTGCCAACTTTTCCTGGTGCTGTTTGCAGGGGTCGCTGCTTTCCCTGTAACGGAGCTATTAGGAGGGGAGGTGGGCTTGCCTGTCGCAGCCCTGTCCTGTTCAACCTGTGTCCCTCTGGCAATGGAAATCCGGAATACATCGGCTGAGCTCCGGAACACTCAGGTTAGTTAGTGGCTGGAGACCAGAGAGTGGCGTCTGTGCCTTGGGAAAGTAGTGGTTGCAGAGCCGGAACTGAAACGTGGGGACAACAAGGTGCAGGGCTGGATGAACACAGCAGGCCAAACAGCATCATAGGAGCAGAGAGGCTGACGTTTCGGGCCTGGACCCTTCATCAGAAAAGGGGGAGGGGAAGGAGGTTTTGAAATAAACAGGGAGAGAGTGGGAGGCGGATAGAAGAGGGATAGAGGAGAGGATAGGTGGAGAGGAAACAGACAGGTCGAAGAGGTGGGGATGGAGCCAGTAAAGGTGAGTGTAGGTGGGGAGTTAGGGAGGGGATAGGTCAGTCCAGGGAGGACGGACAGGTCAAGGGGGCGGGATGAGGTTGGTCGGTAGGAGATGGAGGTGCGGCTTGAGGTGGGAGGAGGGGATAGGTGGGAGGAAGAACAGGTTAGGGAGGCAGGGACGAGGTGGACTGGTTTTGGGATGCGGTAGGGGGAGGGGAGATTTTGAAACTTGTGAAATCTCAGTTGTCCTCGTTTTTCAAGGACCGTAACTTCCCCTCCTCGGTGGTCGAGAACGCCCTCAACCGTGTCTCCCACATCTCCCGCACCTCATCCCTCACACCCCGTCCACGCAATAATAACCAAAAAAGAATCCCCCTCGTCCTCACGTACCACCCCACCAACCTCCGGATCCAACGCATCATCCTCCGACACTTCCGCCATTTGCAATCCGACCCCACCACCAAAGACATCTTTCCCTCCCCACCCTTATCTGCTTTCCGGAGGGACAACTCTCTCCGTGACTCCCTTGTCCGCTCCACACTCCCCTCCAGCTCCACCACACCCGGCACTTTTCCCTGCAACCGCAGGAAGTGCTACACCTGCCCCCATACCTCCTCCCTCACCCCCATCCCAGGCCCCAAGAAGACTTTCCACATCAAGCAGATGTTCACCTGCACATCTGCCAATGTGGTATACTGCATCCGCTGTACCCGGTGTGGCTTCCTCTACATCGGGGAAACCAAGCGGAGACTCGGGGACCGCTTTGCAGAACACCTACGCTCGGTTCGCAACAAACAACTGCACCTCCCAGTCGCGAACCATTTCAACTCCCCCTCCCATTCCTCAGACGACATGTCCATCCTGGGCCTCCTGCAGTGCCACAACGATGCCACCCGAAGGTTGCAGGAACAGCAACTCATATTCCGCTTGGGAACCCTGCAGCCCAATGGTATCAATGTGGATTTCACAAGTTTCAAAATCTCCCCTCCCCCCACCGCATCCCAAAACCAGTCCAACTCGTCCCTGCCTCCCTAACCTGTTCTTCCTCCCACCTATCCCCTCCTCCCACCCCAAGCCGCACCTCCATCTCC